TGCTCATGCTCAACATGCATAAAGCTCTGGGTCCCATCTCCAGCACCCAAAGCAGGAGAATTAAGACCCTTTTCTAGGATAGTTCTTGTTTTAATTATTTTCCCAAATAAAGACATGAAGTTTTTTGACACCAAGGAGAGATCAAACACATTCTTTAATCTTTATTTCTGACCAAAGATTGTACTTAACAGCAGTCTTGCTATTAATACAGTACTTAAGAGCAGTACTGCTTTTACTCCCCTCCCAAGGAGAGGCATTCTGTCTAAATGTTTTTGTTCTAAGCCAACGTGACCTACTCCAGAGCTGTGGGAGCACAGGTAGAATGCTGGTGCATACGTTTTAACCAGTTTTCAAGGGCCAGGGTTTGGAGTGTCCTGTCTCCTTAAGCTACTTTGACAGAGCAAATGTTGTTGGCCTATGATGTCCTGGTCACTAACTTGTTGGGTTAAAGTAGAGAAACGCCAAGTCAGACAGATTTGCCACACTCTCTTCATGCATTGCAGTTTGTGGCCTTCGCTCTTTCCCCAAAGGGCCCCTAGGTGGCAGTATGACACTGTTGTTTAATTCTCTGGTAGCTTTATCCTCTCACCTTGAGAAAGGGGCACATCCACAGTCATAGCAGATCTTGGGCTTCCACTTCCTTCTCTATTGTTCCATTCTTGCAGCAACCCTTTCCTTTTCTAGTTCTAAAGGAACGGATACAGTTTATTCTCAGACTTTAACACAGGACTGGCAAAGTATAGATGCTCAGTACGTAGGTAGAAAAGGATAGGAAATAAATCCTCAAGAAAAAGAAAGGTGGAGCTCTGGCTTCCCTTATTGGGCAATCTAAATGATCTACACAAGTTTCCACTGCAACACCCAGAAATTCTGGAAATACCTAATAAGTATCTCTTTTAAATCAACGGCTAAGCTCAACAGGAAAAAGAAATGGAAATCCCTTCTTATTGGTAACAAAGAAAGGACTGAAATCTAAGATGTGTTTGGCTGCTTCCGACCTTGCCTTGGAGGTGGGTGGGTATGGGGGATAGGTGGGGACTCGAAGTTGCTGCTGGCCTGGGTTATGTACAGAGGTGCTTCTCCAGTTTTAATGCAGCTCCTGGGGAGATTGCTAAAAGGCAGTTCTGTTATGGTCAACGTGAATCAGATTTCATAGATCTGCCACTAAATCTCCTTATTTAATATATTAATAAAGAAGTATTTATTAGTATATTTCCCAACAATCTCCTGCGGACTTCTTTTAAATAGCAAAGATGAAGATTTGGGTTTTATTGACTACATGGACACAAAAGAAGAGACCTTATGCTAAGTAACCCAGGGGTTGTAACTAAAACCCCTACATTTTGCCAGCTCTCTCAAGAGATTTACATCCTCATTTAAAGGAGGAGCTAGAAAAAATATTTGCAATTGCAAGAAGACAGCAGGCTCTACACATTTTTTGTTGTATCTTCGATTTCTCTGGTTTCTTGAATTTGTTTTTTGCTCAATCACTTTGCATATGATATTTCTGTGGGATTAAGTTCTGATTTTTCAAAAGTTTCCTGTTGACTTCCATGCTCTCAATATAATGTCGGTGAGTTATTTTTTATGTCTCTCCTTTTGTCCCATATTGTGTGCTAATTGAAAATGTGTTTTTAGAGACATTTATAGGGAAACTCAAAGACAAAAAAGAAGACAAAAATAAAAACACGATAGGAAATTATAGACTTTGATACTCAGAGGCACAGCAAACTAGAAACATAGTCTACCTTCTAGCCAGATAAAGATAACACTTAATAATACAAGCCTATTCAGTTCCTTATGCTTAAAACATCAACACATATTTCAAAAAAAATTACATGCATGCTAAAAAACTGAACAAGACTCAGATATACAAAAGTTTGGTGTTATCAGACTAGAAATTTTAAAAAAACTATGATTAATAGGCTAAGAGTTTTAATAAAAAGGTAGAGAGCATGCAATAACAGATGAGCATCTGCTTGTATGAAGAGAGATGAGACTAAAAGAGATTCAAAAGGAAATGGGAGAAGTAAGCTTACAGATGAAGAGCTAAATGAAGTCAACCTGATATTTTAATCCAGATCTGGCTGGCTGTAAACAGAAACTATAATCTTCAAGTGGCAGAGGCCCAGTGCCATTCAAATATCTAGCAAAAATGTATGTTATCTGGTGATAGATGAAAACATAACATATGTAAGATCCCACTCTCAGTAGATTTATGTGCTATTATAACTTGGAATTTATCAGCAAGTTCTTAAATACTAATTATCATGTAGTTTTAGATAAGTTTTGCTATTATTGTTTTTGGTACTGTCATGCTAATAAAGAGATATTAAGTGAGGATATTAATTTTTATCATATAGATTTATTTAATTTATAATTAGCATAAATTATTTTGAAAGGTTTTTCAGATGTTACACCGTTACTACCTGAGTCTTATCTAGGATTTTCATGACTGTCTTTAAGTAAAATTACACTGATTTTTAAATAAAGTTTTCCAGGGCTGGGGATGTGGCTCAAGCGGTAGCGCGCACGCCTGGCATGCGTGTGACCCGGGTTCGATCCTCAGCACCACATACCAACAAAGATGTTGTGTCTGCCGAGAACTAAAAAATAAATATTAAAAATTCTCTCTCTCTCTCTCTCTCTCTCTCTCTCTCTCTCTCCCCTCTCTTACTCTCTCTAAATAAATAAAAAAATAAAGTTTTCCAAATTCAGGGCTTTTGGCATGAAGGTAAGATAACACAAACAAGAGTTTAAGTGATTAAGTGAAAGCCTGGAGACCTAAATTTATTTATTTATTTTTAAAATATTTATTTACTTATTTACTAGTTTTAGGTAGACACAATATATTTATTTATTTATTTTATTTTTACCTGGTGCTGAGAATCGAACCCACTGCCTCACACGTGTTAGGCAAACTCGATACCACTTGAGCCACACCCCCAGCCCCTGGAGACCTAAATTTAAAATGGAAATCTCATATGTGAACTCATTAAGTATTCTCTCCTCAAAAATCTGCATATTCTTGACATGACCATTGGAAAGGTGTGGAAACCAATGCCCAGGTATGGTCAATTAGAATGACTGTTACACAGATGGAGGCTCATATTCCTATTCATTCTCCACTAAAAGAAGCTAGGGCAACTTGGAGATGCGACTGATTTCAAACTGAAGAAGATCCTAAAACCTCTTGTCACAACACACAACAAGGGAGCTGTTAACAATTCAGATCAGGACTACAGCACTCAGAGCCAACTTAAGAAGGGTCCTACTGCTAAAGGTGGGATAATTTGAGTACCAATGTGTACAATTTATTGAAACACATTACACATCCTGAAATGTATAGGCTTTAATGAGCCTGGCATGTGTCAAGGAAAAACTGACACTTTGTCCTGCTTCCATTAGGGGGACACATGGCACATACCATATTTGCAGAGGGAAAAAAATCACTTTGCACCTTGAAATGAAGTCCATAAAAGGTTGTTATATGGCTTCTGGATGCCAAAATAAGTGACATTGAGAGCATTTCTTTGGATTTGATGATTCAAGAGCAAAGGTTGAGAGTGAGCAAAAGTTGAGTGGGCTCAAGAGTCTTATCTAAGACTAGTGTAGGGGCGGTTCAACATCAGAAAAACCTATCAAAGTAGTTTAGCATAGGCATGACCTCTGGGTGATATGAAAATTTAATATCTCTTTATGATGAAGCAACAACAATAACAAAAAAATATAATAACCCAAACCTCTCAAAAATGTAGAAGAAAATTTCCTCAATTTGATATAGACTACTTGTGGAAAAACCACAGAAAATAGCCACTTGACGAAAATTCAAGAAACGTTTCTAAAACTATCTTTGTTTTTCTATCTGCACAAGGTCAGAAATTCCTCCATGGTGTCCTAAAGAATGCAAATTCCTTGAGAACTGCATTCCGAAAAGAGTTACAGGATTGGGAAGTACTGCAAACTAAAATCTCCTCTTAGGTGCTCAAAATAACCATTAATGAATTAAAGGCCCCGACAGACAACCTACATCAAGCAAAACTCCTTCACTTTGTGTTTCTCAGAATTCCTCAAATGCATGTCACCATAGAATCCATTTCTCCCAGAACACTAATTAGCAAACGATAGAAATACATTCTTCTAGATATTTTGCTATAGGTTTAATATTTTCTCTCAGGAAAAGGAGAATTAACATTTGTTCATGTCAACTATATGAAAACCTTTGTACATACTGAGTGTGTATGTTTTTGCATATTATGTTACCGTGACCCTAAACACATCTTTTGCCATTCTTCATCTTAACATATAAGTTATTTTCTGGTGACATAAGACTGATTCTGAAAGCACTTTTTCCAGGTGGTATAAGGAACTCAGTGTGTACAGCAGGATTAAATGTCCCCTTACAAATCAATAATCCCAATCTTCCAGTTAGTAGAATTTAATCAATACGTAAGAGTTTTTTCTTACTGTAAACCTGTGGTTCATATTGAAAAATGATCCCATAAGTGAACAAACTTATTTATAGAAAATCCTCTGTTTTGAATATTTGTCACTATCAGAGAATTGGCTCTAGAAAGTTCCTGAAAAACCATTGCTTTAATCTTTCTTCAATATTGTCTCATTTATAATTACATGAAATAGCATTTTGAAAATGATAAAGCAAAATATGAGGTATTATTATAATATTATTTGACCAGGCACTATTGTTGCTAAAACACAGAGTAGGAAAAAGACTATTTGAATGGTAAGTCTTTTGGTTGTCTTACATTTACCAAATTGCTTAGCCTCCACAACTTCAGAAATAGTATTACCTGTTTTATGGAGTTCCTGTGAAGATGAAATAAATAAAACAGAGTAACTTGTTGGGTGTACTTTTATGCTAGCTTTAATTTATTTTATGTCATTCAAGTCAACAACAGTAAATGGGAACCTTTACTATCAGCCATAAAACACAATAAATTATTTTAAATAAGGTTGACAATAGCAATCTTGGACCTCCAATGGCACAGATTGAGAAGAATGTTCATCCTCTGGAAAATAATTCAAATTTGTTGAACATTATAGAAGTGGATGGAGTACCTTTGCCAATACTATCAAAAGAAATATGGAATAAAGTCTGTAATTTTCAAGCCCGACCTGATGACCTTATTCTGGCAACTTACCCAAAGTCAGGAAAATTTATTAAAATATATAATAATGTTAAGTCTTTGGACATGAAGCTACTGGATAATATGTAGTGCTCAATGTAACATCACTGGGATTTGGAGAGATACGATTGCCTATTATGAAGACCTGCCGTTAGTATTATAGAAAATTTAGCTTCCTGGCCCCTTGGACACCAGTTTCCATAGTGCTCTCTCCTGATGGCCAAAACACTTTTCTAAATGCTTTGAAGTGCATCATTAATGCCTCCCTTCAGGAACAAATGACTTAGAAAAAATCAAGTTCAATAAATTGAATGAGGCATGATTTTTCTTTCACCATAATCCTTTAGTGAGAGCAGTCTTTCCCTTAAAACAGACCATAACATAGATGTCAGTTGTCATCCCAGAGAGTTAAAAAAGAGTTTGTCTACATATCCAAAGTTCTTAGAAGTTGTAAACTAAACCTTTATGTTCTGTTCCAGTTAAGTCTCATTAGAGAAACTCAAGGATTTGACCTTGATTTAAAAATGCACTGAACTTCTATTCTCTAAAAATTCTTATAAACAAATAGATCCAACAACAATAGGCACCCCTAGTGCCTGGATCCTGGTTTCTAACAATGTAATTTACCAAAAAGTACCAGGGCTCTCTGGGGAATTGTGATCCCAGACCCCGGTGTGACTTCCTGTCCTGGAGAGAGACTATACAGGGCAAATCTAGGACATTGTGCATATTAGAAAGCAAATAAATACTCAAAATTAATGGGATCGCGTCAGAAGAATCTTGAATATTCAAAAGAATAATGTCCCTAATTAGTAGCATATGATGAGGGATTGGATTGGATTTGTACTCCAATCACTATCAACTAGGAAACTGAAAGAAATAAAATAAAAACCACTGTTTGGCAATATTGGGCAACATTTGCCCAAGTCTGCAGTATGAAGACCCTTTGTGAAGTTGGTGTAGTAACAGGGAATTTAAGGAAGTCATGTCAAGGAACTCAGTCAATAAGTTCAAGAGCCAAAGATAAGAGTTATGGAAGTTTGCAATGACTACTTTGCCAGGCAGAGTGCCAGAGAGAAGGAAATAGAAAAAAAAATGCCTCCGATATCTGTATAGGGGAGCCCTAGAGGATATGGTGAATACTGAATTGCATGTGCACAGGACCAGATTTCATGTGATCAAGCCAGGAACTACCAAGAAGCCAAATAATTCCTAAAGATCACACAAGGCTGGGAAATTTTGTGTTTCAAACATCCTGATAGGCAGAATTTTGGTCATTATAATCTTAGTCCTCTGGCATCATACCTGTGGTTATTTTATATTTCATGCCCAAAAGGATTTTGCACAGCTATAATGAAAGTTACTGACTGGCTTACCTTGAGGTAGGGTGATTATCTTGGACTAGTTGAGCGGGCCTAACGAAATTACTTGAGGTCTTAACAAACAGAAGAGAAAGTCAGAGAGATGTAATAGACCAAAAATTCAGAAATATATGAAGCATAACAAAAGTTTGATGCAGATAATTGGCTTAAAAATGAAGAGAGGCAAATATCAAAAAGCAGGAAACTCAATACTGTAACCACAGGGCCGAAAAACATGTTTTGTATAATTTCAATCATTTTATATTTATTTGAGGATTTGTTTTAGAATCTATCCTATCATCTTTATGTTTACAAATGTTTAACTGGGTTCAGTGGCACATGCCTGTAATACCAGCAGCTGGGGAGGTGGATTGTGAGTTCAAAGCCAGCCTCAGCAAAAGCAAGGCACTGAGCAACTCAGTGAAACTCTGTCTCTAAATGAAATACAAAAAAGGGCTGGGGATGTGGCTCAGTGGTAAAGTGCCCCTGAGTTCAATCCCTGGTACCCCCCCAAATATTTCATGTACACCTGAAAACAATGCAGATTGTGGTGCTAGTGGGTATAGTTCTCTGAAACTGTTACTAATTCACATTGGTTGACAAATTGTTAAGGTCTCTTATGTCCTTAATGATTTTTGATCTACTGGTCCTATCAATTACTGAGTGAAAGTTGTTGAAAATTTTAATTAATATTGTGGATTTCTCCACTTCTTTATTTTTTATAATTTTTGCTTTATGTGTTTGGAAGTTCTGTTACTTGGAACATACATATTTGGGATTGTTTAATCTAAATTATTAAAATGGATAAAAATCTTTATCTCTGATAATAATCATTGTTATGATAGATATTATCATTTTACCTGGTTTATAATTGTTAGTCTCATGGAATTAAATTCCCTGTAGTTACAGTATTGGCTCATTTTTCTTTATGTAAGATCTACTTCACAGAAAAAATGATGAGATCATTATTCAAAGTACATGTATGAAGACACAAATTGGGTGTCAACCTATTTTATATACAAACAGAGATATGAAAAATGGTGGTATATTTAGGTAATAAGAATTGTAATGCAAAAAATAAACAAAGTACATGTATAAAGATATGAATTGTCATGAACATACTATATATACAAAGACATGAAAAATTGTGTTCTATATGTGTTATAAGAACTGTAATGCATTCCATTGTCATGTACTTAAAAAAATAAAATAGATTAAATATAAAATAAATAAATAAATAAGGGAAAAAAAGAAGAAGAGATGGTGAGATTAGAATATTAACAATTTGAAACCCATAATGGAAAGTATTTCAGGCAGGATCATCAATGCATCCTACAATGATTAGATAAAATCAGAGGAAATCTGGCTAGTCATGTGGTACCAAAATGTCACTATACTACTTAATTTCTAATAGCAAATGAAAATATGTCCTTTTACAAGCAATATCTGGTGGCCACATACTTAACGAAATGATCAAAAGTCGTATCCTAAGAGTGAGCAAATTTGGCATAAGGTGCCTCTTGGCATAATGAAAGAAAGTATAAAGCATCACCTGCCTTCTCGCCAAAAAATGTTTTAACTTAACCTAATCAAGACTTAAATTCCAGTTTACGGAAGACCAAAGGAAGTGAGGAACAGGTTAAACATATTATGAGAAAGTGATCAGACAATTCTGGATTATAAAGGCATAACTACAAGATAGCTAGATAACTGATTAAAAATCTACATCATGAAGAAATGAGAGGTTGATTAGAGACTGAGAGACAAAACTAAGGTAGTCCATGGAATTTAATTGGAAAAAAAATCTATAAATGGTGTTAGGAGGTAACTGGAAAGAATTTAATGTAGACAGAGTTCTTTATGATGTTAAGGAATCATTGTAAAATAGATGTGATGAGAAACACGTAGGAAACATGGTAGAAGGAGGTCATTTTGAGAGATGCATGCTGTGTCCTTAGACATGAAGCATTATCAGAGGCTTACTCTGAAGCAGATCAGTTTGTCCAATGATGGATGATAGATTAGATAGATTAGATTAGATTAGATAGGTAAGAGATTGATTGATTTGAGACAGATTATAAAGATGATAGATGGAGATAGACAAAGCCAACAGAGCAAAATGTTTTTAAAACTTGAAGTATTTGTATGTTTTTTTATATTATTTTACCTAGTTTTCTGTATGTTTAAAATTTTTCATAAAAAGTCTGGAATAAGTGCTCTAGATTATACCACAGGGGATTCTGTGACCACCTCCTGTCTCAGGGAAGGGAGGAAAGCTTCCTGTCTGTCCCTGCAACATTAATCTAATTTCAAAGTATTCTCATGTTACTGCCTTTATCCAAAATCTACATTTATTTCAGATGAAAAGCCAGTTACCTAAAAATCAGAGAATATTTCTGATGTTTTTCAGGTACAGCCTGGATGCAAGAAATTTTAGACATGATTCGAAATGATGGCGACGTGGCAAAATGCAGGTGAGCTGCTTCTCTGGAAAGACACCCCTTCCTTGAAGTAAAATACCCTCCTAAAGAGAAGCATGGTGAGTGACATGCAGCGAGGCTGAAAAAGCTTTGACTATAAGGTAGCAAGTCACATGCTGTGCCTTAAACAGGACTTCCACAGCAGCCTGGGCAGCCTATTTCGTTCCCAGGTCAACTTGGTCCTGGGTCAAGAAGTCAAACCCTGGATTTGGACACCTAATGTTCTCAGCTGATGCACTTTAGCTTTTCAACAAGTTATCCTTTCTATTCCTTGTCTGTCTCCTTCCCGGGTAGCTGCTGGCAAATACCCTTCTTCCTCTCTTTCTACTTTTTGTGCTCAAATCAATGAAAAACTCGAAAATTAGCACTGAGCTATTGTAAAAGTATATGGATGATTTCTGAAGAAAAAGAGGAAAGAAGAGGAAAGTGGATTATGATGGACATTCACAGAACTAATGAAGCAAGCTAAAGAACTTTCCTGAGTGTGTAGAAGTTCAGCGAATGAGGTGAAACGAGAAAGCCTTAGCAGAAGGCCAGGATAGTTCACATGTCCTTGTGAATAGACAGTTGTTGTCTCTAAGTGAAAAATAAAATAAAATGAAATAACTCATTAGAATAATATTCAAACGTAAATTAAAGGATTTTCCAAGAGTGGCAAGAAAAAATGGAGAATATTCATTGCTTTTCCAGATTTGGAGATAGCTATTCAAATGCCCTCACCACAAATGCTAAAAACTCACCTTCCTTGGCATTTATTGCCACCATCTATCTGGAAACAGAACTGCAAGGTAAAGAAAGGGATTCTCAAACTTTATCCAACTTGGTGACATAAATGACGTAAGTGAAGATGTCTTTCAAAATAATGTGCTATTTTCCTTGAAATCAAGTATTTCATATGTTTGAAATCTACAGACGTCCATGGCTTCTAATATTCTATTTCCTCGGAGTTTATTGCATGATAACTCCTTGGCCACATGTTTAAAAGTAGAGTCTGTATTGCTACAAATTGGAGGGAGGAGCCGGAATAAAGGTAAACAAGTTTAAAAGTGAAAGACTTTTGCTTTGCTCTGCCAACGTACTGGAGGGTGTTTCCCCTGCCCTTGGAGGCAAAGGGCAAGATCTGCTTCCCAGCCAGGCTTCCAGGTCTCCGAAATCCACAGGCTGAATTCAAAACTTGGATCATTTTTACTTCCCTTGCCTCCATATGCAATCTCCAGTAAAGTTTGATTAATTCTTTGGTGTCTTTCTAATTTTCCCACTGTACAACATCACTTTGGCCGATACCCAAGTCAGGTCACTGTTGTCTTTTGTCTCCCAATTTTCCTGGCGGCTTCTTGTCTGAACACTTACAAACCCTCTTCTCCATCAGATACCAAAGCCACAAGTTGTGCCTTGAACAGGACGTCCACAGTGGCCTCAGCCAGGCTACTTCATTCCCAGGTCAACTTGTTCCTGGGTCAAGAAGTCAAACCCTAGATTTGGGCACCAGAGCCTCCTAGTGTTCGTAGCTCCTACTCTTCCTAAAATGAAAATCTAAGACTTGCTTTAAACATCGTCAGAAACTTAGAGACCTGCTTTAAACACATCCGCAGGTTGGCTGGAGATAAAGTGCAAGTTTTTTTCTATGACTTGTTATGCCTTTAGTCATCTGTGCCTTGCTTCAGCTCCAATCCAATCTCTAACCAACCCCCAGCAACACCCCCAGTTCTCACAGCAATCATCCTGAAAATCCTGAAGGTCCTTGAACACACAATGCTTCCTCATACCTGGGACCTTCCCACATGCTTTTCATGAGACTCCAGCATCCTCTCCCATCTTGACGTAGCTAATCCCTACTCGCTTTTCAGGTCTTGGCATAAATATCATCTGCTTAGAAACTTCCCCTCCTGCCCACATATGTACATGACCTAAGTGTGCATGTGTGCCAGTCATTGCATTCATCATGGTGCATTAACATTTTCCCATATTGACTCTTTGATACAGACTGTCAGCTCCTTGGAATAGGTAACTTGGTCTTGTTCAAATTTTTATTCTGAACATAATCTTAAACATAGCATTTGTTATGCATTTGTTGGATGAAAGATCATAAATACCCACTCGTCACATTACCAGGCCACTCTTCCTAATTTGCCTGAATTCCCAAGAGGCAGCCAAGTACAACCTGCCTATGAAAATATGCATGCATACGTAAGCATATCTAGATAGATAGACCAGAAAAACCACTCTAAACTCTGAGAGACTCTCTGAGACATTCTTCAGTTGAGAACCTCATCACTGTGCATATATGTAATGAAGGAATTGCTTGGCTCCATCCCCGATTTTTCTGTTCCAGGACGGACCCCATCATGTACTAACTACAGATTACTATGAAAGTCCCTCAGATTCTCTAAATTTCAGTTACTTCATCAATTAAAGAATGATGGTTCCCCTTTCCTTTTCACATAATTCTAACATATATGGAAATCAAATAAGATGGTATATATAAAACGGTTTTCTCACTCCCAATTTTTCCCTAAATGTAAAGCTGGAAAATTCCTATTCATTCCTTGAGATATGACTGAGACCTCAAGACTTCAACTCCATCTCCCCCAGGAATCCTCATTAACTCCTTCCCCTGTGACTACTCACCATGTCGTGTCAGATCTCAATGATTTGTAATACCACCCTAGATTTTGGTCACTTCCTGTATGATCTATGATCCTTGGAGGATGGAACGCTCTCATTTGCCTTTGGATTTCTTCATGTCTAACCAAATTTTAGGATCAAAGAGGCTTCGTTTATTTCATTACTATTTTAACTAATAAATAATGCATAGTACATTACATACTGAAAAGAGATGACATTATTTTGTATTGGAAGACTCTCCTCCAGTGTTTCTCCTCTGGTTTCCTTTCCTGTACTTGGGTTCAGATCATCTAGGTGGCTAGAAATGCCGAGGACTGCCTGGTACCCTTCTACTACTTCCACAAGATGACCTCAATGCTACCTGACCCTCAGAGCTGGGAAGAGTTTTGTGAGAATTTCATGTCAGGAAAATGTGAGTGCAAATTTATTTTGTGGTGTGCTATCTCTCTGGAGATTCTAAAAATAAACACCTCTAAAACTTGGTGGATAATAGTATAGGATATTATCCTGAGTGACCAGGTCTTACTGTGGGGACCTGTGACTGGGGAAGCCACTAAGAAGGAACTTTTCTCTAAAATTCATGCAAATGTGAGTTAAGGTCATCTGAGGGTATACCTATAGACACAAAGGTAAAAATTCTCAAATCCTGATTTGAGTTTCAAACTATCAACTTCAAAAATAAGGAAGAGAGGAGACTTATTTCATATGTAAAGACCTGGAGCAGGGGGAAGGTCACTGCTGTTGAATTAGAGGGCCACCTGGCACAGTCTCAAAAATCAGATGCTTCACAACCACAGCCACCTGCTGCCTTTCCCCAGACCAGAATCTGCAATCTTAGAAATCTGCTCTACAGAGTCTTCCAATTTGACCCAGCAGTGAGATCCTTCATCCTCAGCTCAGGAGACCACATCTCTGGGGCAAGGAATCCCTTATGGCCATAGCATTCAAAAAAGAAGTTGGCCAGAATTGACCAGTATCCATTCAGGATAGTACGGATATCAAAACTTTCATAAGATTATCTCAAGGAAACAACATGTAGATGAACCAAGATACTAAAGGGTAATAAGGGGTGATTTAGTATGGGATAACTGTCCACACACATCTTTCAAAGCTTTAATGCAGAAGTACGATGAAGTGTTTTATTGTAGCTACAGGAGGTAGAATAGACAAATGGATGAAGATGGCATCTGCTTCATTTAATTAATATCTCTCAAACAATTAAAACTTCTGTAAAAGAAGTGTCTGTGCTGTGATATTGAAAGACCTCGGTCCTTTAGCAGTCTGATTGTCTCAGCAAATATCTGTCAATTCTAGAACTGACTCCAGGAAGGAAGTAGGATCAGTTGACAATGATTAGTTTCTTATGTCCAATAATAAACAGAAAGGAAGGACACAAAAACAATACTTTGTCAGAAATTCTGCAAAACAATACTTCAGAGACCCTATTGACAATCCATTTATTTGATTAAGTTTAATTAAATTTCCAAATAGAAAAGATTTTGCATTACCTCCATGATATCAGTATAACCAAACCTGACCACAGTCTCTTGAGAAAAAGGAAAAAATTACTATAATATGGATAAAAACATAAATTTAGAAAATCAATAAAAATGAATTCCATCAAGCATGTCTTTCAAGTATATCAATAGAGAAATCAATGTTAGAACAATTTCTCTAGAATCAAAAGAGACAAAAGGAGTGAAATAAGAAAAAGTATCAACCTAGCTAGTACTCCAAAGTGAATGGATTTCCCACTCCAGTCACGTACCTCATGATAAAGCTTCTGTCAATGGTGAACCACATACGGTGGTCCAAAAGATTACACCACCTAGTGATGTCACAGCCTCTGTGATGTTTGCACAATAGTGACATCATCTAACAACACATTTTTCAGACCATGCCACATCATTAAGTGACATATGAATGCTTTTATACAGATGATTTATTAGAATAGTCAAGGTAGGAGGAAGCATGGGAAAGAAAAAAAGAACCAAGCTTCTTTTGATTCCTCTCAGGTCTTACATTGTGACAATTAGGTTTATGCATCAGCTCGTCTATCGTACCAGTTATTTGATCAAACACCAATTCAATTGCCTCTCTGGGGAATTTTGTAGACGTGATTAACATCTACAGGTGGTTTTAAGGAGATTATCCTAAATAATGAGGATGGATCTCATCCAATCGGTTGAAAATCTTAACTGCAAAAACTAAAGTTTCTCAAAAAATAAAGAGTTCTGCTTCAAGACTACATCAAGGGCCTGCAATTGAAGCTCCATGGTAGAGCACTTGCCTAGCACATGCGAGGCCCTGGGTTCGATCCTCAGCACCACATAAAAATAAATGAATATAGTAAAGGCATTGTGTCCATCTACAACTAAAAAAAAAAAATTTTAAAAAGACTAAATCAAGTCCTGTCTGAATTTCCAGACTGATTTACATGTCAACTTACAGGCCACACAATTGCAGGAACCAATTACCCTGGTAGTGAGAAACACACACACACACACACATACACACACACACACACACACACTCCTGTTGATTCTCCTATTAGCCTTATGCTTCTGGACTCCCCTGACTTACATGTGCATCAGTCAGCATGATACATACCAGGGTTTTGATTAACTGCAAACACATATCTCTGCTCATAATGATTCAGAAGAGAATATTTCATGTACCTGCTTACTTGGTCTTTGGAATTTTCTCTTCTGAACAACATTTTCAATCATCTTTCAATCAAGTCTTTGTCCACTTCATGCAATGCTTACAACATAGTAAACACTGTTGAGATTACTATTGTGTTTGTAATGAATGCCCAGAATCAAACCCATAATGCCGTGATGCACAAAAACATCAGTGGCATGAAGTTAAAATACGATACAGGCTAGCTCCGGAATCCATCCAATTCTTTAAAAACTGGTGAAAAGAATGTTTATTCCTTATTTACCTTAAGTGAAAATGGAAGTTCTCAGGGGCCCTCTCTTTCTGCAGCAGTGAAATCCCTTACTGAGAATGCATTTGCAGATTCCGCCAGGCAGCTGGAAGGCACAAGCAACAGGAAGACCCTAAGACTTAACTGCCTGATCCGGCAATTGAATCTGAAACTAAGTACTCTTTATCAGGAATAGGTGAAGCCTTTCATCACCTAAATGATCTAAAATGAATCCCTATACATAAATGTATGTGGGCAACATCACGTACAGTAAGTGTATCGCTGCTTCCTACTATAAAGATGGACTGATTTCAAAAGTAGGAAATTCCTTCTCCTTTACTAAGTTTAATAAAACAACAGACACCTATTTCAAAGTGTCTAAATCATCTCATTGCCTTGGTTTTAGCTCAATACTGAGAACTAACAGTGTTCCTGCCTCTCTCTTCCAGTGGTTGGTGGGTCCTGGTATGACCATGTGAATAGGTGGTAGACTGCAAAGGACAAGCACCGGATCCTCTTCTTCTTCTATGAAGATATCAAAAGGGTCAGTGGTACTGAGTGGTGTTGGGAAGACGCAGCAAAACCTCCAGGTGATTATGTCCTATACAATAAGCTGACTCTTGAGTTGGTAGCAATTTTTTTTCTCCCTTTGCATTTTTTTCTCTATGGCCAGAATCCAAAATGTGAGATCCATAAAGTGTTGAAATTCTTGGGGAAAACTTTGCCAGAGGATGTTATCGAAGAAATCATCTACCTTACTTCATTCCATGTGATGAAGAAAAATCCTATGGCCAACCAATTTTCTGTACCTACCCACATTTACAATCAAAGCATCTCAAAATTCCTGAGAAAAGGTTGGTAACATTTTTTTCTATTTAATCCAGTTCTGAAAATATTCTGCCTTGTAAGTGAAAATAATTTAAACTTGGATTTCGTGAAGAAGTGGTATGATTCAGTCCAATTAAACTCTCGTTGCTTCACCCTGGTCTCTTGGTGAGAGCTGGTGCCAATGGCTGTCAGACTCGAGTTTAGTAAGAGACCTCTAGAGAATGTGCTGATGCACCAATCGCTGGGCCTCACTCCTGGAGACCTGACCAGAGGCCCAAGAACTTGCCTTATAATAAGGGCGATGCTGACAATGGTGGCGACTTTGAGGAAGAAAAGCCCAGCTCGACTACAACCTCACTGAAGTCTCTTGCGTTCTCTGAACAAGCTTCAACATTTTCTCCTTTGGTCTGTCTCTGTTTCTTAGCACACGACTTTATAACTACTTGTTTCCAGCCCTGTCTCCACAGTGAGTCTATGCATTGTCCAGAAGAGAATATTGTATGCAGTGCTGTTTCACTAGCACAAGTACACAACTTCATACCTTGTAGGAGCCAATACACACCACCCGAGAAAGAGTGAATAAGGGAGATATTGTTTGTGTTCTCAAGAAGTAAGCAGAATAGACAAAGAAATAGACACATAAATGTAAGGATAAAAGAATAAGGGCTGGAGCTGGAGCTCTGTGGCAGAGCATTTGCCTTGCATGTGTGAGGCACTGGGTTCCATCCTCAGCACCAAATAAAAATAAAAAAATAAATAAAGATATTGTGTCCATCTACAACTGAAAAAATTTTTTTAAAGAATAAATAGGGATATTTCCTAATGGGTTCCAAATACTACTCCAGCTGACTATTCAAAATCATTTTAAAAGCCCTGATTCCCTGAAGATTCCAATTTATTGGTTGTACTTAGAATCTGGAATTCTATCGTATTATCAAACAGTTGGATTAATCTCATTGCAGAAGGGTGGAAAACCAGTAGAAATAAAGAAGTAGAAGAATTTGGAGAAACAATTCATTGGTTCTACTATTGGTTGAACTTCGAAGGTACAATAGTTTGAGGAAGATCACTTGTATCCAAATATCACTTAGGAAAAAATGAAGAAGTGTCTTTAATTTCACCCAACAGGAAAAAAAAATGCTATCCAACAATGCAACTAATGCTTTGTAAGCTATTTCACTGTTTCTCGTGGAACAACATATGTAGGGTTGAAGAATTCCACAGGAACTTGTGTTAGGTGCCCCAGAGCCACTAATGTCCAGGAACCAGAAAAATCTGCCCCACCCAGCGCATGTCAATGGGGCTTGGGGAACTTGAAAAAGGAACTTGAATGTGTCCTGTGCTTTGTGGTTTGAAGGTCAGATGTAGTGGGCTGAGGAGCCATCCATGATGGGAAAATAAGGTGGAGTAAATTAATCCATGGGGCAGAAATCAGCGGAGTGTGGGGAGGTCAGGTGGAGACGGCTGAGAGACTTTCTATACTTGTTTGCTGTCTTTCGGGAACCCTTGGAGACGGGAAGAACCATTTTACTGTGGCTATGAATGAGATATTCGATGAAGACTATAAAAAGAAGAGGGCAGGGACCACACTGACCTTCTGTGCAGAGATCTGAGAAGAGAATAAAGAGACTATGTCGAGCACCCTGCCTGCTATTCTGTTGAGCAGGGTGGAGGGACTGAATGTGAAGCTCATTAGAACTCAGTCTTTCTCTCCCAGGAGCTTGGTTAGTCTGATAAGATACTAAAACATGATTCAACATGTCAATCAACCTGCTACCAGAGCAAATAAAATAAGAGGAATGGAGAGCAGTGCCTGAGTGTTACGGGGATTTTTCCTAATAAGTTAGGTTTTCTTGTGGGTGACAGATGAAGCAAGATAGACAATTGTATGATACCTACACATGTGTAATCTAACATGAATTCCACAAAAAAGAAGCAGATATCACAAGCTCCATTATTAAAAGAGATGACAATGCCTAGGCATAGAGCATTTATGTGTAAGTGCCTGCTGTAACATTAGCCATATGGTGGCATATGAGATAAACAGATGCAAGGAATAAACAACGATACCTAGATTACTTCTTTCCAAGAGAAGGCCAGCATCCACTTGAAAGACTTCTACCCACTGAAAAAATCAGAAAATATTTCCAATCAAATGGATAAGCAAAGCAAAACAGATATACTTTCATCCTAACCCCACCATGATTGTCATGCCTTACACTCAGAAAGAAAACTCCAACTCCTAGCTTCCTTCTGATGGGTGAGATACAGTGCCTGTATCAGTTTGTTGTGCATTACAATTGCAGCATACCTGAGTCTGGGTGAATTTTATTTTAAAAAAAGAGGTCAAACACAAATAGTCTATTAGAGGTACCTAGAATATCTGGACAGGCTGATTGGGAAGATCAGTGTACTAAGAATTGTGGAAATGATCTCTTTATCTGATTCTCAGAAGCTAGCACAGATAGTCAAAATGAAAAAAAAAAAAACAGGAAATATGTTCCAAATAAAGGAACAAGATAAATTTCCAGAAATCAAGTAATCTACTCAGTTTTTCATTATTATGACAAACTGCTTGAGGCAGGTACTTATAAAGAAAAAGATGTTTAATTTGCTTATAGTTTGGGATACTGAAAATTCAGACAGCATTGTACAGGCTCTGATAAGGATCTTTCCCAGTTCCAGCTGCATCACCTTATGGTAGAACTCTATTATAAGAATGCAGGTACAGTGATTTCATGGTGGTGTAAAAAGCAGAAAGAAATCCAAACGTCAGAATCCAGATTTTACAACAACTTTCTCTCAAAAGAACTTACTCCAGGCATTGAAGGAAATGCCTGAAGTGACCTAAGGATCTTCCACTGTGACTCACGTCTTAATGATTCCATGAACTCCTACATCACCACACTGGGGCTAAAACCTGAACACTTAGTCCCTCAGGAGTCACCGCAAATCCATACCATAGCCCCAACCATAATGAAGTGTAGATATGCAATTTAGCTAAAGGACATTCAGAACATTGCCCATCAAGAGAAGGAGAGAAATGCAGTCTGAGAACTTCAGGAAAGAGATAGAAAATATTAAAATGTAAATCATCACACTGAAGACTATAATATCTGAGCTCAAAAATTTAACAGAAGGGCACAACAACAGACAAACTCAAGCAGAAGAAAGGACTAGTGAACTTGAAGATAAATCTCTGGAAATCATCCAATCAGAGAAACAAAAAGAAAAAAAGACAATAAAGACAGCCAACGGAGCTTATGGGATGCCATCAGCAGTATACTGTATGCATTACGCATGGACTCATAAAAAGAGAGAAAGAAATTAGAAGCATATTCAAATAAATAATGGAAGAAAAAAAATAAAAGTACAGATCTAATTAAAGGCAAAGAGAGAATTTTGAAAGCTGCAAGGGAAAAGTGACTTGTTACATATAAGGAAACATGCACAATGATATTAACAAAATCGTCAACAGGATCCAGAGACCAGAAGGAAATAGGATAGCATTTTTAAAAATTTAAAGGAGGGGCTGTGGCTCTGTGGTAGGGCATTAGAGTACCATGCACAAGGTCCTGGGTTTGATATTTGAGAGGAGGGGGTGTGGGGAAGGAGGAGAAAGAAAGAAGGAGGAGAAGGAGGAGAGGAGGGGGAGGGGGAGGAGGAAGAGGAAGGGGGAGAGAAAGAAAGAAAGGAAGGAAGGAATAAAGAACAAACTTGCTAACCAAGAACATGTATCCTGTTTAAAATAAAATCAAGAGGACATCAAAACTTTCTCAGATAAACAAAAAGTAAAGGATTTTTTTTTACCATCAAATCTACCTTATAAGAAAAGCTAAAAGAAATCCTTCATGCTGAAGGGAATGACCAATAAGCAGCAATATGAAAATACATGACAATATAAAACTCACTAGTAATAGTAATTATATAGTCAACCCCACAACACTCTACTGAAATGTTGGTATGGAAATTA